ATCAATTTGTCGATGCAAATTAAATTTAAAATTTATTCATGAAAATCGAAAAAAGTGGAAAGATTAGTGTTTTTGTCATTTAACTATGATTAACTATGATATGATTAAAACCAATACTGTCATTAGTATTGTTTTGTTATTTATTATTACTATTATTATTATAACTATTATCGCTTTCTTACCACTATTGTAATTAATACTTATTATTACTATTACATTAAATAAATAAATCTACTTGGCGCAAATAAAAATTAAAACTTTAAAAATAAAAGATTTATTATCATTATTACGATTATTAAATCAGTTAAATCAGTTAAGTTAGTGTAGCCAAATTGTAGCAAAATTCTGAAATTACAGGAATTCGAAGGCTAATTGTGATGCAATCCTAAAACGATATTCTAATAGAAAAATTGTACTGTTTTCCAGAAGGTTACTAAGGTTATCAAATGAAAAAATCATTCTCCAGTGAATTTCACGGATGTTTCGAATTTCCGAAATGAATTATTTCATATTTTTTAAATCTCAACTTTAATAAATAAAGAAATTTATTTATTTATCGAAAATCTGCCAAAAATAATTTTCGAAATAATTTGTAGTTGTTGGCCAAAATAGATGCATAGGTCATGAAATCGCAAAAAAATTTAGCCAATATGTTCGCCTCAAGTGACTATAATACACCTCCTTTTAATTTTTTAATGTTTGTTTTTCAATTTGCTAAGCTTATGATTTTTAAAGTTTTTAAAAGATTTCAATATGCAGCTTCTTCAAAAAATTGGATTCTAGCCACAAGAAATAAAAAACCATAAATTGGTTATCCATTATGAGCAAAAAAATCGCCTGAGCCAGAAAATAATTTGATGGAAATAGCAGAGAAAAATATAAAGCCAAATTAACCAATATCGAATCACTTTTTGATATAAGTTCATTCATTTTGAATATATTTTTATTCACACTCAGTACTAACGTAACGTAATTTCATAAATTTTTCAATTTCAATTTCAATTTCGAATCAATTTCGATTTTTCAACTATCAGTTCAAAAAATTATTCAATGAATAAATTTGACTTCCCTAGCTGTGAACACGAAAAATACATTATGTAAAGATGTCTTAATTACCGCATATCGTAATTCAGCAAGCATTCTTGAAATAAAATTTATGCCTTGGTCAACGTGGTTAGGGCTCAACATTTCTGGTTGGGCCTGCTCCACATGCTGATATGTGAAAAATTTTTGCCTTGTAATCACTTGGCGATATAATCACAGGTAAATTGCCAGCAGTCCCCGGATTTTTCAGTAATAGATTTATTCCTATCTAAAGCAAATTTTGACATTCAAAGTGGTAAGACAACTAAACGACCATTCAACTATCTTACTTCAATATTCAATATTCTTAAAAAAATAAAAACCAATTTACATTTCATTTTTTCTTCTCAGTCAGTAGGCCATTAAATATAAATATTTTAGTCAAGTTTAATCCTTTAACCTTTAAGACGATTAATGTTGTGTAATATAGCAATTTTTTCGATAAGTGAATGCCTCTAAGTCTTTTTGAAAACTAAATGCCTATAAATTAATTAATTATAATTAAACAATTATGTTTTCGCCAAAATAATAAAATGAAATGGGAAAAGGAGAAATCAAAAAAGAGTTCTAGAGCTGAAATGAAAAAATAAATTTTTTTGCAATATTTTAGATTAAAATAAATTTTTTTGCAATATTTTAGATTAAAATATACGCCTCGAAGACTTAATTTTTCAAACAGATGAATTGAATGAATTTCTAATTAAGGGTATTCACCTAATGAAAAATGCCTCACTTGGGGTAAATTACTAAAGAGCAGTGAAATAACTGATAATCAGTAGGATTAAATGAAGCAACTCAAAAAATTAAACACGAAATAAGAAGTAATGAACGATACACCATAAATTTGAAAAATTCCTTTCTTTTTCCCTAATTAGTGTTATTACAAACATTAAAAATAAATTATTTGCCAACCAATTTCGTTTTTGAAATTGTTTTTCGCTTTTTTCTGATTCCTTGATTTAAATGGCACCAAGTTTCGGGAAAAAATATGAAAAAGACGTAATTCAGCGAATTCATTGCAAAAGAAGCATTAACCAAGAATATTGTCTTAAAAATTATCTTAAAACGCCATAAAGGTGAAATAAATAATACCATGATAGCAAGATCTGATGGATAAATAAGCCAGTCAAGAAAACCAGCACCGAAGCGATAAAAAATCACCGCGAAATAAAAGAATCGCACTACCTCGAGAAATTATTAGAATAAAATAATAAATAATATAGAAGAAATACTAAAGAAATATTTTTCATACAAGAATATTGCATAATTCTTATTTCATATTTTCAGAAAATAATGAACGATATGATATTTTGTACTTTTACAAACATTAATAATAAAAAGTTATTAAAAAGAATTAATTAAAAGTAATTAAAGTAATTAAAAAGAATTTGTCTGATGGAACCACGCTGCTTCTTTCTCAATAGCAATAGCACGACTTTTCTTCGAATTTTTACTTCTCAACAAATAACTTGAGTCACTATCCACTCGGTTGTCTACAAATAATTTATGATGCATAAATAATTTGTATGAAAATGTTAATTTTATTAAGCTTTTGATACAGAAACGAATTTCTATAAGAAACCACAATGTTTCACAACGATTCATATTGTTGAAATGCAAATATCATGTAAAACGGTTAATCATCTTTAGTACCATCGAATCTATTTCTTTAATATCTATTTTTTATTTTTTATTCTGTCTAAAATTAAATTTTTGCTTAATATTTCCACAAATGTCAAACAAAAAACTTACGGAACTCACTGAGAAAAAAGTAAAATACACAAATGCTTACTGTTGGCCAAATAATAAAAACAATCTTGATTTGAACGATTCACATTAGAAAAGTGCCAACCGCTACTTAAAAGTAGTCGGAATAAACAAAGTACACTTGTCGATAAAGACTGTAAAAATCCCCCAAGAAAAAGTGATAGAGAAATTCTCTGACTTTGGATAAAGAAAAAAGAATAACACAGGCAAGTTAAAGTTACTTGATAAATCGCATTCTAAATATTTAAAAAATTCTATCGAAGGCAAAGAGTGAAAATTCGCAAGCAAAGAGTCCAACGGTTTTTAAAACAATTACAAAATCTGGACTACATGCAACTAAGACAAATTATCATTACAAAAATTACAAATTATCATAAATCATCCTTAAACATTAAATGGAATCCTTCCACGTTTGAAATTTGAAATTTTTTCTCACATCGATTTGCTTCTCTCTCAAAGCGTCGCTCCATTTTCCTACACAATTCAGAAAAATTAATTCTTCTTCTTCTAACATCTCTCACCATTATTGGTTAGACTGGCTCCAACGGCTACAAAGGTAAGACGCTTCCAAGCGGTGCCATGCCACCGTCGACAATAGTAGAAGCCATTCCTTTTTCCATCGTCTAAGTCCATATATTACTGGTCCACCTATACGTTCAAAATTTTTCCTGATCATATCAGTGACTTGATTGGCCCACCTCGCTTTTGACGCCATTCATCACATAGTTTAGCAAGTAACGAAATATACGACAACTCTTGTGGTGGACGACGAAGAACGCGCCCTAACCACCGAAGGCGACGCTCTGTGATAATATTATTAATACAGGTGGTGTATGAACGAAGGTGGATGCGATCATGTGATGTTTTATCATAAAATAAAAATGATAAATAAAAATGAATTGCAAAATACTATTCTCTATGAAAAAAGATGATGAAAAGCAACAACCAAAAACGCCGAATAATTATATGAATGATAATGAATGATAATATATATTAACATAATAATATATATAATATACATTTTTATCGCCATTTAAAAATGTACATTTGTTTAATTAATTAATTGGAATGGAGTAATTAGTAAAATTAATAAAATATCTATTAATAAATTAATAAAATTTGTAGAGAGCGTTGCTCACCAAAAATACAGCTACTTGTGAAGATTGACTGCCCATCATATAATTTTAACTATTTTCAGTTGCCGTGGTTTATTCATCACGATGCCATGGAATGAATAAAAAAATTTTTTAAGAAATAATAAGAAAGAAAATATTATTGTGGATAAGCACCAAATAAAACTGATTTAATAAATAAGAATAAAAGGAAATTAATCAACAATCACTGCTTCTTTGATATTCAGTAAATTCACCATTTGCTGAAAAAAAATTCGTAAACGTTCATAATCCGATCGATTTAATAAAGTTTTTATGAGAAAATCTAAGGACGGCCAGAATTTTCTTCAACCCCAGGTAAAGTTCCTTTATTTATTCTTAAAACACATCATGTCCCCTTAAAATTTCTTCAGACCTTGTTCTGCTACTGGTTATATTGATTTTATAATTTCTTTTAAGATCTTTCGATTATGCATTCTCCAACATGTCCAGTTTCTTTCATACTATTCTTTGGAGTTTGCAAGAAAGGTTAAAAGAGATTAAAAACGGCGAAAAAAACCAAGATTGTCAAGCAGCTTCAGCTGTTAGTTTGAAGGAGTTTAAGTGGTATGGTGTTTAAAACGATGTTATTAATGCGTCCAGATAAAGGTGAAGGTGAAGGTTTGAATGAAAATAAAAGGAATTGAGCGCGTTATGGGAGTATCTATTTTGAGGAAAGTTTGCGGAATAAAATAATTTTTCGAAAAATTGAGTTGGAATCATTGTAGCGGTAAAAAGTTTCTTATTTTAAGGTCATGTTTAACTCGTGGGAATCACAAATACGTGTATCTTAAGCAAATTACTAAGAAAATTTAATACCCGCAAATAAATCTTCTTTTTCTCGACCACTTCTCCTCTTCCTCTACTTTGCAAATTCCTCTAACAATTATTTTCTGTCAGCCAACCATTCATGGTTTTTTACGAGTCTTATGATATATTCTCTCTTCTCCGCAACCTCACTTATCAAGCTATTTTGTAGAAATCCGAAAGATATAAATATTAATAATAATAATAAAGCACCTGCCACTGAGAGTAAGAAAAACTGAGAATAGCTTGGTTTGCCTTCATATCTGAATTTTCATTGAAAAATTCTGTATGTTTGACTAAATAAACTGAAAAACTTTTTTTAATCCATAAGAAATGACTAAAAATTTAATTTGACCGCATAAAAAAAAAATTATCGAAAAAGCGAAAAAATTACCTAATTCTGGAAGACCATCATTTCCTGTAAGATCGATCTGAACCTTACCTTCTCGTATGAGAAATGAGATATAAAAAACATTTTCAACAGAACGACTGAAATCCGTGGGATGAAAACAAAATTGGAAGAATCCAATTCGATTATTGTTTTGTTGCCGAATTTCCTTTTTTAGACAGTGCATTATGTGATCGAGCCGCTTGGTAAGTGGATCAACATGCTTGTCTAATTCACCTATCTTTAAAATATGATATTTCTGCAAATTATATTTACAAAAAGAAAAAATATTTTACGCTGAAGAAAATTTAAAAAATACTTCAATTTCCTTCAAAAGCATTCGTGTGCCACTTTGTTTTACGCGGCTTTTTTTTGGTTGAGGTTTCCTGACTGTTACTGGTAATTCAGATCTGATAGTTGGACCCCTTAAAATCACTGTCTGACTCGACGAATCTCATTGCAATTTTTAATAGCCCCAATTTTGAAACCACTGCTCTAGAATAATCCAAGAGAACAATGAAATATACAAAATATTGCTCCATTCTCCAATAACAACAAAATATACTAACAAGCATGATAAGGATGGTGATAAGTTTAGTAAAGAGACCGAAGCACTACCAAACCAAGCCCAATTTTGCAATGTTAAAGGACCGTGACTGTCGGAATTTTCGTTACCGGTGATTTCTTCAAATTCCACGCCTTGTTTTAAATATTTTGTCTGAAAATTTATGCTTTAAAAATTTTTTCTTACAATTGCTATCGATCCACGTCAAAAGTCATTATTTAATGAAAAAAAACGAAAATCGAACAACAAACCGTCCCTTCAAATCTCACAAAACCATTAAACCATTGAAAAATTAAACAATACATCTACCAATTTTTTGGCGAATGACCAAGGATCAATATTTCTCCCAGTATTTTCCTTGTGAAGGGCTTGCATTTTAACGAATTCCAGCCTTGTAAATGAAACTAAAACACGCGCATCTGCGAGCAGTTCTTGACAGGATGAATCCTAAAACAATTTATAATTTACTAGATTTATTAAATTTTAATTAAAACTGGAATAGCTCAAATAAAATTACTTGGCCTAACATTTGACCTGACAATTCAATCCGTTTTGTTACGCCATCTACAAAACAATTCGTTTCGATAAATCCACCATTAGTAATGCGAGTTGTTTCTTCTAAAACAAAAATAACTTTTAAATAAAACATTCTTCAAAACGATAGCGAAAATTAATTGGTACGACATTCTATAAAATAAATTTTAAAAATAGATTTGAAAAAAACACCTTCCAATTTTTCACATATTACGTTGCATTTACCACATAATGTGGCATCATTTTCATTGCAACTTAAAGCAGAATTATTCATCTGAAAATATAAATATTTGTATACACTGAATGTTAGGCATTTTGGGAATCCTTATTACCATTAGAGAAAGGGAACTTAAAAATGATTTCAACCTCGATCTTAAATTCAGATTTAAAAAAATTCTCTCCGATTTTTCTTCGAAAATATATTAAAAAAGAAAAGTATCGTAAAGTACGAAAAAAAATATTATTTTATTTCTAAACTCGAACAATTTAAAAATATTTAAATACTTCCACATCTGCTCCATTGGAAGATGATTTTGGAATAATATTTTCCATATCGAAACTATTATCGTCTTCACAATTCATCTTTTTATCTGAAAACTTTTTTAAAAATTACATAATTCCGTTGAAAAATTTCCATAAACCGAATAAAATTATTGAAAACATACGATGAAACAAAATAAGCAATTTTCTCATAAAAAATCATTTTAATATTCTCTTTTTACTTGCTTTTATCAAATTTTATTAAAATATTTTTATTTCTAAAAAAATTCACAATAAAGATTTCATAACAAAAATAATGTGAAAAACAATAATACTGGATTGGCAATAATAGTAATAATTTCTGATTACAAATAATAAATCGAAAAACTTTTATCGAATAAAAATTTTAGAAAAATCGAACTTTTTTTTCTTAAAAATTTTGAAACCAAAAATTAGCTCATTTGTTTCCCAAAAAAGCTCTTTTGTTTACACAATTACACAAAATTTTCATTTTGAAATATTCGAAAAAAGCGAAGAATTAAACAAAATTTTGCAAAACTGGAATAGGAAAAAAATATTCCAAAATATTCGATATTTTTTAAACGAATATTTTTTTCTTTTTATCGAAACTTCTTCGTTTTTTTTCATTTACAAAGTCGATAATTATTTTAAAAACTTCAGAATTTTTCAAATCAGCCGGCAATTCTTTTCTTCCAGATAAATAGTAATATAAATCCCATTCATTATGTTCGCCATTTATTATTTTATCATATTCGATAAGCTGTGAATAATTTAAATTTTTTAGCGAATTTATTTCAGCAAAACCTCCAATAAGAATATCATTTTCTAAAATTCCACGTTTCTTGCTTTGATAAATCAGTCGTGAACGCAACGTTTCCACTGTTTCATTCCGATCTGCATGAATCGTCAATTTTTTATCAGCGAAATTCGAAAAATAAGAAACAAATTGTTGATTTGTTCGGAGCAAACGATAAATTTTATGGAATAAATAATATCGATTCATATTACTAATAATCTAAAAGCTAATCGAATAAATATTTATAATTAAAAAATTATTGGTAGCGACCTCAACAAGCGACCATATTAAAACGAAATAATGACAAAATGAGTATATTTGAACATAAAGAAAATGGCATTTCGACTGAAAGAATTTTTTTTTTCGAATTTATTCATAGAATAGCTGGATGACCATTATTTTAGGCAGAATTTACCAGTGAAATTCGAAAAACAGAGTCGTTCTAATAATCTTCAACAATTCTAGCAACCTAAACAAAGATAGACTCATATATCCTCTTACTAGCCATAGAATTATATAAGCATTGGCAAGAGCATCTAATAAGCCATATCTCTGTAAAGCCCCTCAGACAGCATCCCCCAAGATCTTTCAATCACCTCAAATTCAGGAGAAAAATTCAGGAATGCATTTCTAACCGAATTATTGAAGCAATGAAATGTAAATATCAATTCTTTTTTTTGACTTTTCAGGAATAGAAATGAATATTAGTCCAAATTAAAAGAATGTCTCTAAAAATCAGCCACTTCTACGATATGGCATACTAGTAGGAAATACAGTTGAGGATCGAAAATTGTTCAACTGTCAGAAAAAGTTGCAAAAACACGAATGTCAGGAGATCTTGACTACTGGAAGAATTGAAAAAGACAGCAGCTCGGTGAAGCAGAAATTATTTGTTTAAAAACCAACCAAGCAGGACAAGCCATTTGTTTAATAACAACAGTTAAAATAACAAATAATGAAAATTAAAGATAAAAATGACAAAGAAAAGAAAAGAAAAAAGCAAAAGAAAATAAGAAAATATTTTAAAAAATAATAAAATAAGAAGGAAATAAAAAGGAGTTACAAAATAGTACAACTCGAAGTAAATATATTACTTATACACAACCAAATGGTAAAAATCAAGATTTCAAACCTCCTGTATGGTGTAAATTTAAATAATAACATAAAAAATATGATCTAATCTTTTTTTAAAAATAGCTAAGGACGCATATTACTGAAGTAATATGGCCTTAGAAATGGAGAGGGCTGCTCGGTTAGACGATAACGGAACTATTCGGCCTTCTTCAACTATAACTCGAGAAATGGAATTTCGCAGGAAAATCTCATCAAACAATGAGACAATATAGATGCCATAATTTATTAACTCTGATACTGACCGAATAATATAGTTTCGCAATTACAAGAGCAATGGATCCCAAAGAGGCGATGAAATGTTAAAAATAGAAAAATGAGGCTGGATATAGAAACAGCAAAGGTGTCAAGAAAAGACCAGTCACCACTGCAATCTTCAATCAAACAAAGATCAAAAAGAAATTCAAAAATTTCGATAAAAAAATCATTGGAAATATTAAATGAGAAAAATGAAATAAAAAACTGGAACGACTAATAAAAAAATATAAAAAGGATAAAGTTGATGGAGAAACCCAAAGGTAGATGAGATTGCCTTAGTATGTGCGTATGTGCGGAAAACAAAGATAAGAAATTTGGCAACTGGATCGTCGAAATAAACAGAAGACCCGAGGCCCCATAAGTTAAGTTAGCCAATTAAAGAATTAATCAGACCAGCACCCCTTCTTTATCCTCTAGAAATTATGAAAGAAGAAGAGTCCGCCCCTACGGAACATCGCATCCTGCACCTTAGAAGATAATGCAATTGTCTTAAGGAAAATAGGAAACTTAGTATTTTAAGGAATCCCAAGCGTATTAAGTTCACCTCTAACATAACGAAACAAAAAAAACAAAACAAGAAGACTCTACACAAGAAGATATGCATGGGGAGGGATTCACCACTTATGCAAGACAAATTCTTTTTTTATTTTAATAAATCTTTTTTTCAGCGATGTACACGGGCGTTCTCGATTTTAATTTAAGAAATGGTTTTAAAGAAAATGCAAGTGTTGCAAACAAGAAGCAAACGAATCATTCCTTGCAAATATCCAATATCATTATTATCTCGTCGATGGAATTTGAGATGGTTGTTGTTTTAGTGTAAGACAGTTATTTGTCACGCAGTAGTGCCGCCAAATGGCGAAGGGAGATATAAATTTAGATTGTTCGCATAATCGCATCACGCCTGCAATATACCTTCTTCCAAGCGACAGCACTGAGAAAGTAAGAGAAACGAGAGTTGAAAAAGATAACAAAAAATATTACAGGACAATAGGAGAGTACCCCATTAAACGTCTTTCACTTCGTTAAAATGAAAGATAAAGAAAGAAATTAAGATAAATCTTCTCTCCTCCCATCTTAAACCGTATATAAGCTCCCAAGAGGTCATTTTTGGTCATTTTGGGATCTGTTGATGGAGGTGGAGGCAATGGAATGGGAGGAGGGGATGGGAGGAGGGGATGGGTGTGGGAACTGGAAGATGCGGGGCGAGATACAGTCGTTTTAGTGTCGGCCACATAATTCCCTATTCTCAACAGGTCTGCCATTAGGGTGAAATTGCCACAACGAAATATGTATGAAGAAATATTAATAAATATTAATTTATTGTGCATATTATATGTAATAAATGGATTAATTACACAAGTTTGAGTCTTATAACGGTGAGTCGATCATTTCTCACTGAAACATTAATATAGAAATGCTGGCTACAGTATAATTAAATTCAAATTATCAACTGTTCAAATTAAATACCGCGTGGCGGACATAAACAACTATCATTACAGAGGGAGGGAACAAATTTCCAGAAGCGTCGATGAGGAAATATAAATTGGATTAAGGAATTCGAAAGAGATCTCTTTTCTATATAAGAAAGAAACTCTTTTGTATAAATAGCATGGAATCCAATTAATGACCGGCCGGCCTCATTTAAAAGTAAGGTCTGCAACATTTCGGTCATCAATGTCAATGTCATTTTGCTCGGATGATCTGGATAAAGATAGATTCCATCTTGTTAACCTCTTCTGATTATGGAAGGCTGGAATGCATAGTACGTGAGGGTACTCCGCTATCTTCTGCAATATGGTTAGGGATATTCGATATGCCAACAGAGAATTTTCTCCACTATGTTGAGATTCATGATTTTTTGTCATAAATGCTCTGTATAGTGCTTTCTGCCAAAGTACGAATGTCAGGTGATTCCAGGTGCTTCGAAGATTCGCAACGAAAGCAGCAAGGTGGGACAAAAATCTCTATTGGAGTGACATGGCCTCAAGAATGGAGGTGGCGGCTCGATTAGGCGACAATAAGAAACTATTCTGCCTTCTTCATAAAGCAATTATGACTCGGGAAATGATCAGTGAAATGGTAAGGGATAGCAATGGCGTATCGATCAAAAAAATATTAAGGACCGCCTCATAAGATGGAAAGAGGCCAAACTTAACCAATGGAAAGAACTCTTTGAGGCCAAAGTTAACCATGAAGCGCTATCTGTTGCCCCTGATATAGCTGATACTTTTATCGAAGCATACGCTTGCAATTGCGAGCCTCCAAGAGAAGAAGAAATAATTTCAGTTATCCATAAGCTTAAGGCCAACAAAAATCCAGGAGAAGACGGTCTTCGGGCTGACCTTTTCAAATGCTGTCCATAGTCCTTCATAAGGCACCTTCAACAACTCTTTAGTATGGAAAAAAGAAATATTACCAGATGATTGGAGCAAAGCAATTCTGCTCCCAATTCTCAAGAAAGGTGATAGGACATATTGCGACAATTATTGAGGAATCAGCCTATTAGACGTCTCAGCAAAAATTTTTGCTTCCCTGCCAATCAACAGACTTATGGAAGTACGAGACAGCAGGATGTGCCCTAGTCAAGCTGGTTTTAGACCAGGGCGCGGTTGTACTGACCAGATATTCACGTTAAGAAGGGTGTTGGAACATCGCTTCAAATATTCAAATATTTGCAACCCACTGTCACGTGTTTCATCGACTTTGCGGCTGCCTTTGATTCAATTAATAGAGCGGCGCTTCGGAGGGTGATGGAACGTGATGGTGTTCCAGAGAAAATCATTAGACTCATAAAGGTATTTTATGAGCGCACGTCGGCGCAGGTCTGTGTATATGGGGAGCTGACAGATTCCTTCGAAATAAGAACAAGTGTCCGTCAGGGCTGCGTCCTTTCCTCCACAATATTCAACTATGCGATAGACTGGATAATGGACACTGCTTGTTGGCACTCAAGATGTGTCCGGATTAGTCCAGAGCATCGTATCACAGGTCTTGAATACGCTGATGATGTAGTCCTTTTTGCTGAAAGTTATAACGAAATGCAAGTAATAGTAAATAACGTGTCAGAAACTGCAGCAAGAATCGGACTCAGGATTCTTATGTGCAAGAAGCTAATAAAATGCCTCTTTTTGTAAATTCATTGCAGGTTGAGGAAGTGCTTGATTTCAAATACCTTGGGTCCACTCTAATACCAAATGGACAGGCAACCACCACAGAAGTTGACGCATATTTCATTATTTGCTAAACCATGTGATGGTTGGTGTCAAAAGCGAGGTGGACCAATCAAGACCTGAAGTGATACGATCAGAAAAGATTTTGAATATATAGGTGGACCAACAATATATGGGTTTAGACGATGGAGAAAGGAAGAGAAAAGGAAATGGAGATGGAGAAATGGCTTCTATTACTGTCGACAGGGTTAGCAAGTAACGAAATATATGTCAACTTTTGTGGTGGGCGACGAAAAGATGTGCTCCCGAACCAGCGAAAGCAACGCTCTGTGATGAGATTTTTAATGCAAGAGGTATTTAAGTGAAGATGGATGCAATCATGAGAGATATTATAATCATGAGAGATATCGCTTGGCGAATCCGTAAAATGTAAAGTTTCTTTTTAAGAACATTCACTACTAATGCAAGTGACATTGGGTTGTCGCTATTTGAAGCGATGTTGCAATACCCTTCTTAATTAAAAAATGTTTGGTCAATCAGGTCTGAATTCAAGGTGCATCCTGCTATTTTGTATTGCCATAAATCTCTTCAATAGAAGGGAAAAGAAAATTTTCCAGTAGATGTCTAGTAGGCTGATATAAATCAATCGATAATTGTCACAGTATGTCTTGTCACTGATGGTTCCACGAGTCATATTTGCTTTATGAAAAAAGCAAAACAGGTTTTATCACCGCCTAATCGAGCCGCCCTCTCCATTTTTAAGGTCATATCACCTTAGCAATGATTTCTGCCCCGTTGAATGTCGTCGCCAATTCTTTGAAGCATCCAGTAGTCAGTTAACATTTGTGCTTTTGCAGCTTTTACTAACACTTGGAAAGTTGCTTTCCGATACCCAACTAACACATTTCCTACTGTATGTCCTATGCCCCATTGTCGAAATGGCCGATTTTCGAAGATATTTCTTTAGTTGGGATCAGTGTTTATCCGCAATTCCAGAGGTTTCTTGATATTCATTTTCACTAGGGTACTTCAATAATTCGGTTTGAAATGCGTTTACTGTTCCTGATTCTTTTAATATGAGATAGATGAAAGAATTTGGAAGATGCTGTTTCTTGTAATAAATTTTGTGTGGATCTTGGTCAAACCATAATTCATAGTCAGATCCATGAAGATTACAAGTTTAAGCACTGCGACAGGAATGATTATGTAGTACGGAACACTTCCAACAGCCAAAATATAATCAATCTGGTTACAATATTGATTACCTTGGGGGGGTAGAATGGCTTCAATAATACGAGTGAACTTCTGCAACTTCTCCCTACTAATACCGCCAAGGAACTCTCTGGCACATTTGTCTAAACCAGCGGAGCGACTATAAGCCGTGGAAAATGCGCTCAAAAAAAATTATTTAACACTTATCACTGAGTATATAAAACGAAAATATTAAGCTTATAAAAGTCCAAAAAATTTAGCAAAGTAAAAGGAATTGGCACCCAGCCAATTTGGAAATTCGCCAATATTTTTGTCTAAGTTGGAAGCTTGGAAAGGCAGCCAGCCAGTTTGGAGAGGAGGGGTGGGAGAGGGGGGAGCGGAAGGATGGGTATGAACACAAGTTGTGTAGTTGTGTGGTATCTGTGATATTTATGGTTCCCAACCCAAGATTGTTACCGCAATAGATCTATTTTTTAATTGCAAATATGAGCAAAAACTTTTTTGAAATTTTTTCATTCTTTTATTTTTTTCAAAGAAAAGAATTTTAATAATTGTTTTGAACGTGGAATATTTTTAAAAAAAGCTGAAAACGATTTTATCCGGAAGATAGCGAAATTTTTTAGTTTTAATTAAATTTTAAACAAGTTAATTAATAATTTTTATTATTTGCTTTTTTTTGAAAAATCATATTATTTTTGATTTGTGATGGACGAAGCTTCAGCGATATGTTTTAATTGTCAAACAGAGCTGATATTGGATAAAAGTCTTTTTGCTGATAATAATGATAATAAATCGAATTCTCATCAGTCGCTTTCCTCTCAAGTTCGTTCATTATTTTTTGATTTTTACATTTCTGATTTGCCTAGCTTTCATTCATCGCTAAGGTGAGATGACACTTCTCATTTGGACATAGATTCATACATCTGGAACTGCCAGAAGATTTCATGTTTAAAACAAGTTCCAAGAACTCAGCCCATTTTTTACTCCATCAAATTCATTGTTAAAATTATAGTGGCTTGAGCTTTCAGACAAATAGATCAATATGTGCAAAAGAAGGACTTGCATCACAATCGGGTAATCTCTTTGATATTATATGCAATTCAGATTCCGCGCTTGAAGGACCCATGTGTCAGGTTTAAATTTCAGTTTTTTTTTTATGATTTTTCATACCTTTTGCGTCGATATGCGCATACTGCCAACCAATTTGTTCGTTTGCGTGGATAGAGTAGGTGGGAAATATTGTTATAGATTTGCCTTCCTACACTTCTCGTCGATATCCTTTGCTATTTTTATGCAGTTTCCTTGCCAATAATTTGGTCGTTCTTCTTCATCTAACAGCTCTCACCATTACTGGTTAGGCTAGCTCCGCTGGCTATAAGGATAAGAGGTCTCCAAGCTACTCAGCCATCGTAGTAGTAATAGAAGTTATTTTTTTTTTCCATCGTCTTAGTCCATATATCGCTGATCCCCCTATACGTTTAAAATCTTGATTGTATCAATTCAGGTCTTGATTGGCCATTCTCGCTTTTGATGCCAATCATCACAGAGTTCGGCAAGTAGCGAAATCAGTTTCTGTGGTGGACGACGGAGAACGTGCCCTAACTAGCGAAAGCGACACTTTGTGATACATGACTGGTCAAAGGTTGATAGCTTCTTAATATCTTCCATTCTCATTGGCCCTGTTTTGCAACCATATTGCAAGATCGAGCGAATTGTGGATATGGACGTGAATTTTCGTCTTTATGGTGATTTCGCGACGGTTCCATAAATATTTCATCATCCGGAAAAATATCTCTAGCTTTCGTTATCCTTTGCCTGGCCATTTAGGATTAGATTGGATTGAATGTTATTTAAAGTCTTCAACTGGTAATGAATTGATAAAAATAGGTATTTTGTCAGCATCGTGTATATAAGACGAAAACATTTTCGTTTTATTTACATTTATTTTGACTCCAATTCTCGCTGCAGTTGTTGAGACACTGATACATTGTTTAACATTATTTTCATTATAAATGTCAGTAAAAACTGTGATACTGTGCTTTGGAGCGATTTATTCACCTCTAGAATGCCGACGAGTGGTGTCTATCATCCAGTCTATCGCACAGTTGTATATTGTAGGAAATGTGAAGTGAGACTGATGGACACCAGTTCTTATTTCGAAGGACATCGAATACTTTCATTTCCCCATATATAGACCTGTGCCAAGGTATGCTGATAATATATATGCCTTTATGAGCCGAATGATCTTCTTTGAGACTATCTTTGAGACTATCACCCATCACTTTCCAGAGCGCTACTTTATCAAATCATTTGACTAGATGTTTTCTTGGATGTCGAAAGCATGTATTAATAAAGAATTCATGCTGTTCTGCAAAACGAAGAAGAGGCGGTCTCCATTGGCGCACTGGATTTCGATGCTATATTTCCCAGTTATCAAATTTATCTCAACCTCATCATCATCTACCCCTCTACTTCACTCTCATCCCATTATGACCATGTCATCTCTCGGCAGATATGTTATTAACAGTTGAAGCTTCGCATAGAACTTCTCCTTATCTGCTCATAAAATTGGAGCATATATACCCAAATATTGTAAAACTTTCCTTTGAAACGCGCGTATGCCATACGCTTATTTACTGGCTTCCCTCGCTACGCCATTTCGCTCCGAGTTATCCGATACATCACTGTGATATATAGTAAATATTTAAATATAGTAATATATAGTAAATATCTTTGCTTGGAACCAGGTTTAGTAATTACGAGAGCCGACATGACAGATTTCCGACATACAATCCACGGGGTATTTAGACAAGGTGTGGACAATGATCGCTTGGCTTGCAACATCCATAAGCATTCTGACATTCCGAATATCTACAGCCAGCACCCCGTACCTACAAAGTGTTAGCGGATAAGGTTCTCGTCTTTCTTGACGGGTTTTGAGTAATTACTAATTATCTCGGTTCGCGAGCATGTTCGCGCTTTGGAATTATTTCATTATAATTGTTATACCCAGATCGTATATTTATGCATGTACTACTGGGTCAGCAGTATCATGCGCATCGGAAGACGCGAAAATCGCGTTGAAGAGACCCTTTCACTACAGAGTCACTCAAAGGTACAGGTACAGGTTGGTCCCCAGCAACTACCCTGATTTTTAATACCATGACAGGTTTACTCCTGAAGAAGATAATACTGTTACAGAATAACAATGTAATAACAATGTTACATTAACTTATAATAAATAAACACTAATAATAAATAAACTATAAGATAATATAATATAATAAGTATATGATAATATAATTTGACCGTTCGAAGATCTTTATATTCTTTCACATTGAGTATTATTTCTCACTCTATCCGTCTTTTATCTTTATTTTCTTACCATAATTGTGTGGCAAACAGATATTACTGCTAAAAAAGCTGCTGGAACTAGTATATGAATTAAAATCACTGCCTCTCTATTTGCTTCATTCTACTTTATAAATTATCCAAAAACTATTATGTAAAATGGAAAGAGTTCAAGATCACAAAAAGCAAAATTGAGCATTAAATCCAAGTAGCAAAATCGCATGATATATCAATCGTATGTATAATCGTATGTATGATATTGTATGATATGATATGATATAATATATGGTATGATATCATCATCTGACGCCAAGTAGAATGATTTTGTAGAATGGCTGACGTAGTGAAGCTGTCGTTATAAATGAAATCCGAATGGTGCTGGTACTCTAGGATCTTTAACCTCTGGTAGCTTAATGCGAATGGGTCTTTTCCTAGTACTTAATGAGGACATGTCATTAAAATCAAAATTTAACGATGTTGTCGGGAATGACTGAAAATAAAAAAAATAGTAATACGGTAAGTATTCATTTAAAAAAAGAGAATTCATAAAATACTTTAAAAATTCGAAAAAAACGACAATTTTTAACAATGTTTTCCACATCATAATTAACAATATGCAAATCACACATGATTGTTTTTCTTCCTTTTTTGTTAGCTAATTTGTAAAACCATCTTATTTATGTATCAAAGAACGAAAATTTTCTCTTGAATAAAAGTAAACTAATTTTATGTAATTTTTGATCTACCAATGTTTTTTAAACTCAACCCAGATTGGCTCCCAACCGGGATTGTTTTTATTTTGAATAAATGAACGACTGGCTTTCACTTATATCAGTATTTAATAACCATTATCCTTCGCCAATGTTCCCCTTTTTTTTATTAACTACTCACTTTAACCATATTCGCTTTTATTTCGAATCTATTAAATAATCACTTTTCATTTATTATCGTAAACTGTATTTTTAATTAATGTTTTTTAATTAATATTAATATTTTTATTCAATGTCTCTAATGCACATTTTCGACAGATGTTTCATTAATATTGACTGGAGATATTTGGTAAATTTTTGAGTAATAGAAGCTTAGCATTTTTTTAAAAATATTTACAGGATTGCACTCATAGTCTTTTGCTGGGTATGGATGAACAATTAAAAGGATTGGAGGATGAATGTGCATGTTATCGCAAATTTTTGGAATCTTTAAAAACTGATCGTTTATATCGTTGCGATGAAAAATCTTTGCAGTCAAAGATTGCTGCCCTGAAAGTACAATAAATTATAATAGATTTGACATATTTGCTGGTTTCCATACTTGCTCCTTTTTTTTAGGCAGAAAAAAATTCATTGTTAGCAGAATGGCGCAAACTTGAAAATGACGAACAGAAGTTAAATGAAGAATTAAATCAGATGAAAATTGATCTAAAAAGTGAAAAAGATGATGAACAAAAGCTTTGGAAACAGTTTCGTACTAATCACAGGTGAGATTTTTTTCTGAAATTATTGGGTTTTAAGGTACTTTTCCTTTCATTTAATGAATAATTATTTTGTTATTCATAATCATATAAAGTATGGGTAGGATGGTTATTTGTGAGTATTTTGTGTTATTAAAGTCATCATAGGCCCTTGCCTGATAAGAAGACAAGTGAACTACCTTTTTCACCTAGTGATCCTTGTGAAAAATCTGATCCTAATAGCTAGTGAAAATCAAGAATGGTAAATGCTATTAGATGAAGAGTTATGAGAAATTAATTGTGAATTTTGTGTTTTAATTGTAAAGACAATGAATTTAGATATTTAGATTTGAGAGCTATTTAATGATTTTCTTACATAGTTATTCATTATAGTCGGTTACTGCGGTTGGAAGAAGAAGAGCAGTTTCTCGATCAACAGATAAAACGAGCAAAATTAGAGCTGGAAAACTTATCAAGTTTAAATGTGTTAAACATGACATTTCATATATGGGAGCAAGGAAGTTTCGGAACTATTAATGGCTTTCGGCTTGGCCGTTTGCCACATTCACAAGTAGAATGGAATGAAATAAATGCTGCATGGGGACAAATAGCTTTGCTATTGACGGTAAAATTTTATGTTTATGACTAATTTATTGAATATCTTTTAATGTTCTATTCCTCAGATTCCTTCGAAATAAGAACTGTTGTCAGTCTGTTGTTTTTCATACTATATTCATCTATGCGATAGGTAATGAATTCCGGCACTCAAAAGCTCAAAAGATGTAAAAATCAATCTATCACAGCTTGATTGTACAGCATCGTATCACAGATCTTGGTATACTAATGATGAATCCTTAATGCCAACGTGTCAACGTTAATGTAAATAAAATGAAAATCTTTTCATCTTACAAGAAGCTGAATGTCTCTTCTTTTTATAAATTCATTATCGGTTAAGGAAAAGCCCGATTTTAAATACCTTGGATCCACTCTGATACAAAAAGACAAAAGGTGAAATTACAACCCGGATAACAGCAGCTAGAAATGGGTTCTTCCGGTTGATGAAATCTTTATGAATTCGTTACGAAATCACTATAAAAACGAAAGTCGTTGTCTACATAACTACAATTTGCTCGATCTTTCTATGTGGTTGCGAGACTAGATTGATGAGAGTAGAGGATATTAAGTTATCTGTGTCCACTCATGTCTAAGACACATTTAACGGGTTTGCTGAACTGATAAAGTCTCATTACTTGCATTACATGCACTTTCGCTCAGATACTACCTTCCTTGACAACGCTAGCATAGAACATGATCTTAGCTGGTTAGGACACGTTCTTCATCTCCCACTGCAAGAGTTGACATATATTCCTCGCAAAATCCTGTGATGGTTGGCGTCAAAGGCGAGGTTGGCAAATCAAGGCCTGGACTGATACAGTCAGGAAAGATTTTGAATATTCAGGGAAACCAGCGACATATGGACTTAGATGGTGAAAAAAGGAATGGATTCTATTAGTGATGATATCAAATCGCGCAGCTTGGAAACTCTTTGTAGCCAGCGGAGTTAGCCCATTAATGATGAGAGATAATAATTGCTTTTAGAAGAAGAATTTCATTATTATTTTTTTCATTATTATTTTTTACATTTATTTTTCATATATATTCCATTATTTTTAAATGGTGAAGTTTTTTAGATTCTTATGGAAAATGTTGAAGGATTTTGCCTTAGTGGATATAAAATATTTCCTATGGGCAGTAATTCATATATCCGAATAATATCTACAGGAGTCGATCTTCCATTATATGGTAGTGGTGGCTTCAAACCTTTTGGTCAGAAAAAATTTGATCAAGCAATTATTGCCTTTGTCGAATGTTTTTGTCAACTGCAAAAACATTTTGAGGTTAACAACTTTATGTTTTAATCAATATTTTTAGTCATTACTATTTCAATACTATATCAGTTTCAGTTATTACATTTTTCAACTATTTTTATTTTTATTAATCCGTTTATTAAAATAATATTTCGAAATTCTTTTAGTAACTGAAATACTTTCGAGATAAAAGATAATATTTTTTCAAATTTTTTCGTAAATTCCAGAGTCGAAGCGAATTTCGATTGCCATATAGAATGCATAAGGATTTGATTGAAGATAATAAACGAGAATATTCAGTGAGAATGCAGTTCAATTCAGAGGAACGTTGGACGAAAGCCATGAAATGTCTTCTAATTAATCTCAGATGGACCATTTCTTTTGTAGTGACAAATAAAAGTTTTGGATGTCACTGAAATTCCCTTGCAGTATTTTTGTTCTATATATAAATTTTTTCTATACATAAACTAGTCCCGTCTTACTGGGCATAATTTTTTGATTCCTCTTAAAACTCGTTGTGTTTCATTAAATTCTATGAGCTCACCATTATTAGCTAATTTACTGACTAAATTGGCAATTAGAGTTTAGAGCCTTCCGATCTGATCGTATGCTATCATTTTTCTTAGGAATTCCAAGCAAGATTGTCTTAGTTCAGTCGCGTGATATTTGCTTCTTATTCCATATCAATGAACATAATCTATGTTTCCTTAATAAAATTTCCAATTCTGCTAAACCTTTTTCGTATTCGCCAAATTCTCATTGCTCTCAGTTTCTCTCGCACGTTCTCACTAAGTTTTATAATTTGTACCTCCTACCATGATGAAAGTTCGCTATGAGATTTGACGAGACTTTAAATTCATATTTGAATGCGTAGTGTTAAAGAGTTACAACTGGCAGAGCCGACACGAGCGCCTAGGCGATTTGGTGATTAAGGATGCCATTTTCTTAAGGCATCATAATGCCATTATATAACAATGATTTTGCTTGAATCTGAAATAGTGCACCCATTTTCATTAATTATTGTTTTGAAGAAGTGCAAAGAATTAAATTCGAAGTGTGTGATACTAATAATAAATTTTGTATATTGTAACCCAAATCAACATTAGCCAAAATTCTTGGCTTACCTTTAGGTTTCCATTGATTGATCTAAAACATCGGAAGAAATAGAGGAAATAAAAATCATCGCTGGAGATGACGAAACCAACGAAATTTTGCGATTGCCCAATTTGGATAAGAAGAATTTCTTTGGTAAAAGTGATCTACTTTTGCAGATTTATCAATAAATGAACAATATTTGTTTTATATAAAAGTTTTAAAAACTCAGTATTGCGATATGAGCGCTGACATTTCCCAGCACTAGAGTAATACGAGAACCTTTGATAACTTATGGTTGGGTGCTAAAATACCGCATTAAACAGCTGTTAATCATTGTTTTGAGCGTCGAACAAGGAGGAGAAGTAGGGAGAAACTTTGATGTTGTGTTTTGCGTGATTCTAACCTTGATTTATCGGTTGCTCACCTCATTCAACTTATACGGAGAATAAGAAAATAAGAAAGATTCTTTTGTTTGAAAATTAGTGCAAAATTAATTAAGTGGTACTGAATTCGCTGATGTGATTTAGGTGGATCAATATTTTATGAAGGTAATGACAGAAACATCAAGCCTATTTGTGTTTATTAAATACCGTTTATGAAGGAATCTGTCGGGGTAAATTATCATTAAGGATGGGAATAAAGAGTGGGAAAATTTATATTTTTATTTATATTGTGAAAATTTATTATTCAAAAAAATCTAAAATGACAAAAGCTCAAAAAATTTCTCGAAGAGACATTCTCAATCCGCTGGTACTAATTAAATGTTTGTTTTTATTTTCCTTCACATTACGTTATAACCTTGTTTTATTGATTTTTCCTTCCTAACATCGCATTTAGATAAATTACCCAATTTTAGGATTATTATTTAGGATTTATACAATAAGAAGACGATAAAAGCTGGGAAAATAAATGCAACTAAAACAGTGGATTTCTTTACTTTTTTTCTTTCTTTTTATAACAGCTCTCATTTGAGAAAATGAAAATTATTGAAAGAATTGGCCAGTTCATGTATAGGAAATAGAAATTTCATAAATCTTTAAATTATCACTAGTTAGGCGGACGCCGCTGGCTTCAAGAGTTTCCAGGTTCACTTGGGAACAGAATTTCAGGAGGGTTCTCAACAGTCACTTTCACAGATTATTTTTTCCAGTTGGTTATCCAAGTTCGTTGCCTTCGCTGTCTTCTCCAGATTTCTCGCCGCCTCTAATCCTCGATAAGAAATGATTGGAATGATTGGAAACTTGGAATTGGAAATGGGAATTAACTGATTTGCAACAATTTATTGAACGCAGAGATCGGGTTTTTCCGTGAACAATATAAAAACATGAAGTATGATGCTTAACAATAAAAAATTGTTAAGCACAATGAAATAAACTGATTAAATATTATTAAATAAACTGATTGGTCTTCAACAGTTGTGGTTACTACAAGTTTACTACAAGTTTAGATCGGTTAATAAGTGTCAGAAAACTCGGAGAATATGATCCGGTATATTTGATCCAATTATTTGACTTGCTAATCGACCTAATTAACTGACTTGCAAATATTTTCCTTCTTTCTTTCCTTGTCCTTTGTTCAGCACTTTCACGTACAATTTTCATCAGTAACTTAACGTCAATAATTCATTTTACCTTGTATTACTTTATTTTCGGCATCATTATTTTCTGAATCTCGTTAACGATCAGATGTTGAAACATATATATATATATATTTTATTTGATTTTTGATTGTCGATTTCTTTTATTTGATGCAAAAAATTAATAAATTCTAAATAAATTTAACTTTAGGAAATTGTTATTTTATTTATAATTGATTTAAATTAACTTTATCGATAGCATTTCAAGATTCCCTTGATTTAATTAATCACCGTTGATTTCAATTTTATAATTTCGAGATTATTCGTCATTTTCAATTCTGAAATTTTTATTTTTTTGTGATGAAAATTGGCTACACACATTTTCGAAAAAGTAATTTGTAAAAAATAAGAAAATTTACTAATCAATTTAATAAGATTTATTAGGAAATTTCTTTCCGAAATCTATCAAAGAAAATATTTTTCACTTCGCAGGTTCAATTATTAATGCACGCTTTTACTGAAACTTCTAGAATATGGGCAAAAATTTATTTAAATATCCTAATTAAGCCAACCTTGCTAGTTCTTTCCATTGTTGTAAAGTTTCATTCGTAAAAGTAAAGAGACTTACGAAATTATCGACTTCTTCGTATGATGGAGGAGGCGATAGATTGACTACAGTGAAATCTTTATATTTCGTTATTCTTGGATTCGCCAGTTTATAATTTGGTTTCGTTTGCAATTGTAGGCTGAAAATTTGTCGCTCAGTAATTAGTAATTAGTTAATCTAATGAAAGGAAAGAAGAACGAACTTTTTTGTAGTATTTTCTTGCAAATAAGTACTGATTGAAATTATCAAATGGTCAAAATTATCGTATTTAATCATAAAATTTACCTTGCATCTGATATAAAACTTATTGAGAAAATCTCAGACGTATTTTTTCTACATGTAGATATTTGACGAGTCAAAATACACAGCATGCCGATAGATATGTGGTTTTTAAATGGTACCCATAATGACGCTTCATACTTATTGGATATTGGACCCAAAGTTATTCGTTTCCATCTGCAACTTTTCGTGGATTCCTTTATTGATAGTCAATCTCCTATTTTTAATGAAAAGTTGCGCACGAAAAGTTGGAAAAAAAGAAACGTTAGCAAAAAGTTTTATACTGCCTCAAACTATCTACCTTAAATTCTACTTTAACTTTATACGAAATTCGAACTATAAGAAGCTTCTAATTAAATTGAAATATTAATAAATCAATATATTGAAATCAAAATATCAATAAATCATTCCTACCTAAATTGTGCGAAATACGAGAAAAGCACGGTGCAACAAAAAATAACGCCAATGAGTAAAAATATGCCAAATAGAAATGAAATGTGATCTTCTCCTTCAAATTCCGGCAGTTTTAAATATTTTATAGTTAAATTCACTGAATCCTGCAATAATTATTTATTATAAATCTATTTTATATATTAGCCCTTTTTGGTTTAATGATTCAGAATGAAATTGCAGCATTATAAGAAATTAGGAAATTTCTATAGTGCATCAGTTCCAGAAGTTTATAATTTATATTTATAATTGATTCAATGAATTTTAGAAATTTTTCTTTTTTCGGCATTTTACAAATAAAATAATGAAGAAATATCGACATCAAGACCTATGTTACTTCGACTATATAACGGTAAAAGATAATCAGTTGGTACAACTACATCCTTCAACGGTTTTGGATCACAAACCCGAATGGGTGCTCTATAACGAATTCGTCCCGACAACCAAAAATTTTATTCGACTAACTAACGTTAGACATCAAGCATATGATTCTTGCCGCTTGTCGAGAAGAAAACCTGTCTTCAGAAGTGAAGCTCACATGATGGACCTACTTACACTATCCTCAAGTGACTCTCTGGCGAAGAAAATCGCGTCTGAGACTAATCAAATCAAATTAATAACTATTGTTAGATGATGGTAATGTAATATTTTCCTAAATGATGTAATTATAAATAACTTGCAGTAAGAGCAAATGGTGTTGTGCACTCACGAAAGTAAAAAACAGTCCTAAAAAATGAGGAAAGACATACCGCTCCGTTGCGTGTGTCATTGGCTGAAAAATAATTCGGATCACAGGAAGGCAATCTAAAAACTCAGTTAATTATTTATTATAAGAAGAAAAAAGAAAGAAGACTTTCAAATACCTCGTTGTGTCGTTTAAGAAAAAAACCAAGTTACAGCAAGCAATGTAGGAAATCTTTTGTTGCTCAATGCAAAAATGCATTCCTTATTATTTTTCTTTTATCTGAAAAAAACGATTTTGTTATAGATGACAAATATCATTTGAAGATTCATTCATTAATTTTTTATCATTTAAAGTCGACTTATATCAATTTTTCAAAATCAGTTTATTGCAGTTAACTCTTGGCAGATGATTAACAAGAAATTCGATACATTACTTATTCGAAAAATATTGGTTACAGTAGTTTGTGGAAAATGATTTTGATTATCTGTTGTAATAGCATAAAGTGCATATATATGTACTGATATTTAGCTAATGATTTCATGAGTATGTCGATTCATTACTGGTTCAGAAATTTGATATAGTAAATCATAGAATACTACCGAAGTTCCGTTAATTAATACGACCAAATCAAATAAATCTTTGAAAAATCATAAATTTAAAAATCTCATAAATCGAAACAAGTGGAAAATTTCAATCAAAATTTTCTTAAAGGCGATGTTGCTAA